CCACGCGCCCTTCGTGTGCAACCTGTGCGGCACGGCGCACCCCGTCAGCAGGGCCGAGACGCCGCTACTGGGACTACGCGGCCGCACCAGGCAGCCGCCCGTCTGCGCGAACATCGGGCGAAGCTGCCTCTCCAACCCGAACGGCGTCGGACGCGTCTTCGATAACGCCCGCAAGGTCAGGTCGTCCCTCGCTCGGACGCGCTCCTACCGCCGACGCAAACGGAAACAGTCAAAAAGTGTATACAGTTCTTCTATACTTTTCACTTCTTATTCGTTCTAACTTGAGTGGAGGGAGGCCTAGTTCGCAGTACCAGGCGTGTAAGCAGACGTGGCTCATGGGGAAGGGGAGGCGGAAGGATTGTTTGAGGAGGCGGAAGAGGAACATCGGTCGGAACCCGCATTGTAGGTGGCGCTTCTTGCCGACGGGGGAGTGTTGTGGTACGAACGAGCAGAGGTCGAGGTGGGGGTCGCCGGGGAGGCCGTCGTCGGGATCCTTCTCGTGGTCGCCTGAGCAGGAGCAGCTTAGTTTGAGGGAGCAGGAGAGGAGTAGGCAGAAGAGTTTGTTAGGGGGGAGCGGAGGAAGGGGGCATGACGACGACGACGACGACAACGACAAGTCTTTGTCGCCGAAGTGTAGCAGGTCGAACTTTTCGCGGTCGGAGGCGCGCAGGAGGTGGTCGCCCAAGTCCAGGGCGTCGCGGTGCTTGGCGCGTCTCCCGCTGCAGCGGCGCGCGGCGTTTTTCCCCCGCAGCGGCGCGTCCTTCCTCTTCGCCAACTCGTCCGGCGGCGGCATCATCAACTACTGAAGGAACGGCTTAGACGCCCTCTCGTACCTCCTCAGCAACCGGTCGCTCCCCCCCGGACCGACCTTCCGACTCCTGTAAAGAAAACCCTCTGTTCTACACCACTACTCCTACACCAATAAACGTCCCAGCCGCAACAACTTCACCTTACCTGAGACAAAGAAATGTCACAGACACTCTCTACTCTTCGTTTACTCTTCAACTTTTCGCCGACACCACTCTACTTCGAGCCTTTCCTTTCTATACCTCAGACACCTATACCCTAAACATTACTGCAAAGTTACGAGAATTGAAGAATAGACTTGGGAGACTGTCGGCCTATAGGTATGCTCATTATAGCATCTTTGGATGGTTAGAACGGTGTTTGAGTTGAGCATGATGACATCTAGGGGAACCCTGACCTGAATCAATATATACAGCAGAAGATCGCGGGTGGATTGCTCGCAAAAGCGGAGAGCTTAATTAGACCGTGAACGTTAGTTGGTAGATGTATAGGCCCGACTTAACATCGTTATGATATACGACCCGACCATGATCGTGGCCGTCGTGTCCGCCGACGGCCAGCGCATGCTCCTCGGCCGCCAGAGCAGGTGGCCGCCCAAGTGGCACAGCACCCTCGCCGGCTTCATCGAGCCGGGCGAGTCCATCGAGGACTCGGTCCGCCGCGAGGTCTGGGAGGAGGCCGGCGTGCGCGTCGGCCGCGTCATCATCCAGTCGAGCCAGCCGTGGCCGTACCCGTCGAGCCTCATGATTGGCGCCATCGCCCAGGCGCTGCCCGACGGCGAGGCCATTAGCTTGCTGGACAAGGAGCTCGAGGCCGCGGCCTGGTTCACGTTTGACGAGGTGAGGGATGCGTTGGTCAACGGGACGAGCGCGCTGGGCGATCCGGTGCCGGAGGGGTATCAGGGGAGGTTGTGCGTGCCGCCGAGGCAGGCAATTGCGCATCAGTTGATGCAGGCTGTTGTTGATGGGTATTTGGATCTGACGCCCAAGATGTGAGATTCTTGGCTTGTGTTGTTGTGCTTGGGGGAGTTGGAGGCGCTTTATGAGATGAAAGAGTGATGACGATGATGATGTATTAGATGAGAGCGAATAGAATTTATACAGAATGAGATGGATCCATGACCATGAAATGATTACAGCGTAGATGTGGCCAATTTTATCTCTTGTATATTCCAACCTCGTTTCACGATACTCTCTCCATCTCAGGAAACACCACTCCCTCCATCACCGGAGCGGGAGTCCATTCGACAAGCCCACGCTCATACCTCACTGCCCAAACGGCATCTGCATTGATAACCTCCAGCGCATCCCTCACATCCCGATCCTTTTCCATAGCCTCTGCCAACAGCTCCAATATCTCGTCAAACATGTTATCTTCAATCCTTACATAGGAAACTATGGCAGTCAGGAGCTTCACCACTGCTTCCCACGTCCTGATAGGCGACGCATACTGGCCGAGGCCCCCTCCGCCCGAAACCTGATCCGCCATGGATTTTTTCGTGATTCGAAAGCCATCGTCTCCCGATCGTCCCGGAATCATAATCTCTCGCATCGGCAGAGACTGCGAAAGGTTCTTCGGAGACGCATTCGTGCGCACCTTGTTATGGGAGGCCTGCTGCTTGATTTTACGACACCAAGCGCCAAGCCCGTCCCACCATTCCGTTTTCCACCGAGTGCTGAGGAAATCTCCCGCCGCCTTGCACAGCCCGGACAGCGCTTCGCAGGCTTCGATCACGACAAACGTCTCTGGGTCGTGCAGTCTCGCTATGACGACCGGCCAGATG